CCAATCAACAGTTTCGATCAAGGAATTTTGTTCAACTCCTCAAAACAAAATGCACTATAAACTGATGCAGCGTTAGATCAAGGCAATCCATAGACATATTCAAATCTCAAGTGGTAGGTTGCTTAATATTATATAGTTCATGAAGATTAATGTTGACTAACAATCGTGAGACACCAAAATTCTGCCAATAACAGATGCACCATGCATGATACAGTAAAACCATTAAATGGATGGTTGACTTGGTGAAACGTGGATCTCTTTGTATATGACCTAATTGATGACAATTGAAAGGTATATATTGTTAGTTTATTAGTTAAATTTAAGTCATTTGTTGAGTCAAAAATTCCTTTTGAATTGTTCATTCGAGTATAATAATTATACATGTTAAGATATAGATATACATGCATGATGTATTAAAATGATTAAATGGATGGTTGACTTCATAAAACATCCATGATATAAATCAAACTTTATTGGTTTTCAACGTACAGATTGGTGGAGGTTTGTTGGCATATTGCATTGAATTTTAAGTTGATTGAGGGAAAAATTGTTAGACGGTCAGGGAATGTCAATTACTAATTGACACCCAAGTAAAAATAAATAAACGCTCATAAATTTACTTTTGTGTTAACTAGTGACACAATGTAAAAAATTCTCGGCCTGAATTTTTAATTTTAACACTACAGTTAAAAATGTGGAAAACAGAGAATGCAAAAAAGCATCAGTTAAATCATAGAAAGGGAAGAATAGACAAGCATTTGTTAGCACTTTTAAGTCATGTTGGTCAAACAAAAACGCCTGATTAAATAATAATAGCATCAGTAATGCTTTTTTTATCTCTTAGAAGTTACAATACAGACACACACACACACACACACCAGGGATGGATGTGTCCCATGCAAGCAAGAAGATCTGTACTTTCCTTTTCTGGAAGCACATTGTCAAGTCAAAGGATAGGATGCTGAGTAAGGGCAGACGTGATCCCCCATACAATGGAAATCTACAATAAACAAAATAAAATAAAATAAAATCACAAGGCAGATACTAGGGGTGCAACTTGGGGAAAATGAAACCAATACCAAGATGATGATATTAAAAAATAATAATAATAATAACTTTTTTGAGTTTATTGACCACCCCTCCCCTAATTTTTCTTGGAGAAGTCAAGATTTCGCAAGTGCAATCTTTTGACAGAACAATGGTGTTAAAATTCTAATTCCGGTTAAGCTTGTTGTAGAAGTCCAACTCTAATTGTAAAAATTATAAGTCAGATTTGTATGAGAATTGGGTTGGGCTCGAGCTAGGTTCAAAATATTGGCCCACCCAAGCTCCATCCTAAGTTTTAGTTTCAAAAAAATTGATGTGAGCCTTGGTCTATAGGGAAGGGATTGAAGTCAAAAACTTCATTTTTTTGTTTTTTCATTTTATGAGTGTAGTTCTTAATCAACTCTCCATCCCAAGGAGCCTTGGTTGCAAACTTGGAACTATGGTTACTAGAGCAAGAAAATCGAAAATCATAGAATTTTCATTTCAAGTTCCATGCTGTTCATTGTGGACTGCTTATCTCAACGAAAGTTACCTTCAAATGCCCCAAACAACCATCGTATTCTAGGTTTGGATGCATCTCTTCTCGCTCTAGTACCATATAATCAATCATTAATCATAATCACAGTAATCTATATCCTAACAGTTTACAAACCCTAGCAAAGAAGTTCTTGCCCCTTTTATTACACAATCTTTGCCACCCTCTCTTCTTCCTGAACCTGCATCCATACCATCATTTGATGAGATCCAAAATTGCTTCTTCTCTCTTGACTCAAACAAATCCCCTAGTCCTGATGGTTACAACTCTTTTTTCTTCAAAGAAGCAGGGATGTCCTAAAAGCAATCAGCGAAGTTTTTCCTAATGGAAAACTGTTAAAGGAAGTCAATGCCTCCTATATTGCAATGGTTCCTAACCCTAACTCTATGAGTGATTACAGAACTATTTTTTTTTTGATAAATATGAGTGATTACAGAACTATTTCCTGCTGCAACATAATCTACAAATGAATTTCCAAACTTGTTGCCAATAGACTTTGATTCAGTTTGTTGGGAGTTCCTTGTTGACTCTCTGGAACTGTTTGGTCTGCCTCTCAACTTTATTGCTTGGATCAAGGAATGTATTTGTTACCCATCCTACTTCATCTTACAATTAAGAATAATGTTAAATAGTCCGACTTTTGGATGTTACCGACTGATTTATGTGAGTGAGGGATGACATCATCATGACGTCATTAAATATGATGATATTCCCCGCTCACATAAATGCAGAGTAATGATAGGAAATCCGACAGTCGGACACATCCTACTAAATTTATGTGAGCGACTAATAGGGAGTCCGATTGATTTATGTGAGTGAGGGATGACATCATAATGACGTCATTAAATATGATGATATCCCCCGCTCACATAAATGTAGAGTAATGACAGGAAGCCCAACAGTCGGATGCAACTGACTAAATTTATGTGAGCGACTAATAGGGAGTCCGATTGATTTATGTGAGTGAGGGATAACATCATCATGACGTCATTATATATGATGATGTCCCCCGCTCACATATATTTAGTCGGATGTGTCCGATTGTCAGACTCCTATCATTACTCTACAATTAATCATGCTAAGAGTTCCGTGTACTTCTCTGGGATCAATCCATCCCCTGAAACTCAGATCCTCTCCTTGCTGGGATTCTTTAGAGGATCACAGCCTATTACTCACTTGGGGGTCCCTCTCAATCACTAGGGGACTTAAAGCCAGAGACTGCCAGGTGCTTGTGGATAGAATCTCTTCCAGAATCAACCACTGGACCTCTGATTCTCTCGCTTGTGCTGCAAGATTTCAACTGACCAGATCTACTCACCTTGGCATGCTCTCTTATTGGATTGGTCTTTTCATCCTCCCTAAAAAGACTGTGAATGACATCAACAAATTTATTGTGGCTTCTTATGGTCAGGTACTGATCTTAACTCTCATAAAGCAAAAATCTGTTGGAAAAGTGTTTGTATGCCAAAATCAGATGGAGTTTTGGATTTACCCAACGTTGAGCTCAGAAACAAGGCTGCCATGGAATGTACACCAATAGAGAGCACAGTCTCTGGTGCACTGCTACCTATTGAAGGGTAAAACATACCTCCTCAGTAGGCTTCATGGACCTGGAGGAAGCTCTTGCAGTTGAGACCCCTCTGTTTGGCCTTTCATCAAACACCAAGTCTGCAATGGGAAATCCACATTTTTTCTGGCTTGACAACTGTATGAACTTGTGCCCACTTGATGCTAGAGTTAGCTCCCTTTCTACACACATCTTCACCGCAGGCAGGCAGGCATGCATGCAACAATTTATGTACCAAATCATTCTTGTGATTTCGAGTTGCCCCAGTTGAGTTTTCTTGTGGGTCGAGTAGGCAAAAATATAGTCTTAATTCTTGTCATTTTGTTTGGTCATTTTGCCTATATATATAACTATAAATTGCAAAAGTATATCAAGGTTACAATGACATATTTTTCTCAGAATGGAATCAAAGTTGTCAATTTTTTTTTTTTTTTTTTGAAAGTTGAATTATTAAAAAATTGAAACAATAGTTGAATAATTTTAAAAATTGAAACAATTCTTGAAAAATATATTTTTTAACTTTTTTTATCAGTGATTTATTGCATCTTTTTTTTTTTTTTTTTCACTGCTTATTTAGGTTTTTTCTTATTTTATAAATTATATTTTTTCAATATATAATTGGCCCCAACAAAAATGAAAAATAATTTTTAGATCTTAGATCAACAATCAGTAATTGGTTATGTAAGCAAAATATAAAAGAGTGAGACCAGCTTACATAACTAATCCTGCTAAGTAATTCAAAACTTGTACAAGAAGAAATTAACTCTTACTAATCGGGCTAATATCACTCCTCAACTAAAATATCTCGCTCGCCCCTTTTAGCCTTTTAGGTGAGGAAGTTATCTCGCTCGTCCCTTTTAGCCTTTTAGGTGAGGAAGTTATCAGTAATTGTTATTATGGTTTATATATACTATTTCTTATGTTTTTTTTTTGCAATTTATCATCCTTATTATGATATCCATTCCTATAAAACAATTTTTTGGTAATAAAACCCTATCCTTCTTGTATTAGGATTCTTGGAACCTTTCCTGATTAGGGAAGGAATATTTAGGAATTGTAAGCAACCATACATATATATATATATATATATTTATTTATTTATTGGGGAGCAGACTCAACGCACCCTCATAAATCCCACCGTAGTTAATTGTGAAGTTTAAGATTATGTAAGTTTTTTATATTCATTCTTTCATTCTATTTTATTAGTTTTATTATTATTTATTTATTCCGTTAAAGATTATTGTGTTTTTTGTCATTCTGTTTTTACCTACTTTGTGAGCTGAATTTATTGTTATTTACATGCTTAAATAAATTCTTGTATATATCTCCTTTCCAAGAGATTGGTGTACAGTTCTCTACTTATATATATATATATATATATGTTACGGAAGTACGAGGCAAGGTTTGATCAACTCTCTCGTTTTGCTACTTTATTCAGAGAGTTGACCAGAAATAAAACTCTCGACTCTATGTTCATATTTCACAGTATATATGGGATTTGGATTTGGTACTGTATAAATTAGATCTTAATATTGAAAATTAATTTTATCGAATAGTTTTTTTAAAAAAAAAATTGTCAGTAGCAAGTTTGTTACCCTTATGATGAAAGAGATTACACCAATATCTTTATACTCGATCATAAGTTTGCAACAAGTTTTTGTTTTTTTGTTTTTGTTTTTTGGGTAAATTATTTAGTTTAAGATTATAAATCCCATTCAAAATTTTGCCAATTAATTGAGTATTGTAGATACGATGTTAGTTATTGTGATTATATAGATTCTTTGATTTGTTCACATTGCAATGCTAAAAAAAAAAAAAAAAAAAAAATGAAGAAAAAAAAAAAGAAGACTGATGGGGTCACTGGAGGAGTCAGATTGGGCATGGCTTCCGAAGAACTTAATAGATATGATTCTGGAAAATTTGGTTTCACTTTCTGAATTTGTTCGATTTGGTGCGGTTTGCAAACCATGGCAGTCTGTGGCAATGGAGAACAAACTTAAATTTGTTCAAAATAAGTTTTCCACACAAGTTCCATTCTTGATAGTGCCTTTGAAAGATAATAATGTCACCGAACGACGCAGTCTATACAACATTACTCATAATAAGCTGTATGATTTTCAATTACGGGTACCTTACAAAGAGAGGCTTTGTGGTTCCTCACATGGTTGGCTGATTGGTATAGAAAAATCCTCGAGCGTAAGTCTAATGAATCCGTTCTCTGGCTCTACAATAGAGCTTCCTCCAATTGATAGTGTGGTCTCAACAAGCATAAATCTGATTTCCTTTGAAGTTACAAAAGTTATATTGTTGCCGCCATCTATGGCATTAGTTCTACCCTGGCATTTATTCGGGCAGGAGATGAAGCTTGGACTTGCATAGAGAAAGAGAGATTTAGGTGATTTGGTGATGTCATATATTATAAAGGCCGGAGTTTTGCAGTTGATAATCATAGAATCCTAATGATTGATGTTAAAAGAATGGCTGGGGCTCCGCAAGTGGAGGAAAAGGAAATTTCACCGCAAATTATTGATACTGAACTCATGCATCTTGTCGAATCATCTAGTGGGGAATTAATTCTTGTACAAAGGCTTTTAGAAATTGGAGACGATTCACAGCATGCAACTTTAGGGTTTAAGGTTTTTAAGATGCTCTTAGACCAATTTGAGGAGGGTTCGCATATGCTTGTTGAAGTGAAGAACTTGGGTGGAGATACCCTGTTTTTAGGAGATAATCATTCCATTTGTGTTTCAGCTTCCAAATGGCCCGGATGTGAACCTAATTCAATATACTATACAGATGATTATATTGACTAGATATGCTATCCCCCACCTGGGCGCCGTGACATGGGTATCTTCGACATAGTGAATGAAAGTTTTGGGACGCATTTCATCCTTGATCCTTCACATAACAATATGCTACCCTCAATTTGGATTGTCCCAACTGTGTTAGGAAGTTCAGTATAGACTTAATTTGTTTCGGATGTCTTTTGATCAATCTAATTTTTTTTTTTTTTTTTTTGCTCATCATTTTTATGTGATGAAAAAATCTATTTTTATCTCTTGCTGTCGCAAATGTGAGATCAAGTTTGTAAGACATAATTAAACATTATTGTTGGTTTTTCTCAAATTTTATGGTATTATAAATATTTCTAAGTTACTGTCTTTTTCCTTAGAAGAAATTTATTGTCATCATGAATATTCCTTGAAATGAGGGTTGGAAATCGCATTGCATCATAATTCTTGATGGTTAAAGTGTCCTTGTAATTCAATCCAGCTCTCATCTATTGTGCTGTCTGTAGTCCTTTGGCCAAGAATTAAGACCATATTTTTTATATTTGATTTGCTGGGTTGCGCCAAGTAGCCTTGCTTGATTTCTGGTTACATGGTATGGCAAGTAGCCTTCGTTTGGTCATTTTGCGCATATATATATATATATATATATATATATATGCATGCATCATATGAAAATTTTCTATATAATAGTGATTTGCTTGCTGCCAATAAAAACAGAGGAAGAGTTAAAACAAACAATTCTTTGCAGTGATTCCAATTCAGATGTTGTTAGATTCAAAATTATATTTTCCATGAGCTTTGGAGGCTAAAACAAAATGAAAAGAAAATAAACAAAAATATTATCTAATGAAACACTATTATGATAAAGTAGTAGAATAATTGTAATGTGTTAATATATTCTAATGTATTGAACTTTTTTATTTTTGAAAAAAAATAATCACAAGCGAAACAGTAAATGATATTTGTTCATTTAAAATAAAAACACTATTATGATAAAGAAGTGGAATAATTGAATCTATGATACACTCTTAGTATAAAAATTAGAAATGAATTTATGTTTTATAATACTATTATTCAATAGATGTATATAAATAAAATTTAAAATTTAAAACACATTTTTTAGGCTCGTTTAGTAAACGAGCCGAGCTTGAGCAACGCTAAGCTCGGCTCATTAGGCTCGTGAACAGGCTCGTTTAGTAAAATAATTAATTTTTATTTTATTTTATTTTATACTAATATATAATTGTGTGGCCCATTTAATATAATGCCAATCTAAATACCTATTCATTAGCCCATTTTCATTTAACTTAAGCCCAACTCACCTTAAGCCCAAATCTACTTAACCTGTTACCCTATCATCATCATATTATATATATATATATATATTATCTATCTTTATATCAGGGTTCGTCTTTATAGCAGCCGCAACATCACTTCTTCCTCTATATCATGCTGTCGCAACATCGCTTCCTCCTCTCTAACACGCCATTGACTGTCTCCAACAAATCTCTGTAATATTTGCTATTAAACCCTAAACAAATCTGTCATGGAGGGTTTCCAATAGATCTCTCTCTCAAAATCTCCTTTTGGGTCTCGATATCTCAATCCCATTTTAATACAAGGAAGATCAAAAGAATGATTGGAGAGCTCTTTTAATCCATCGTCAAAACAGTACCAGATCTGAAGCTTTTTGGTTTTTTTCTTCTTTTTTTTTTTTTTTTTTTCATTTTGGCTTGAAGGCGAGCTCGAGCCGAGCTGAGCCCGAGCTTGCCAAAATATTGGCGAGCCGAGCCTGAGCCTAGTTTGGCCAAACTCGCCCGAGCCGAGCCCGACCCCGAGCACCCTCCTGAAACTGGCGAGCCGAGCCCGAGCAAGGTAAAGCTCGGCTCGGCTCGGCTAATTTGCAACCCTACTTCCAGTTACAAAAATATAAAAGATATATGTCGCTCAATTATTTCTCTCTTTTCTTTGAGAAAATAAAGAATTCACCATTTACGAGAAATAATATGTGAGATATATTTTTGTAATTGGCACATTTCAATAACAAAACAAGTTCTAGTTTTCATTAACATATCAGAATTGACATCGACCGCGGAATTCAAAGGTTGTTCAGAAGATGAGAGTACTGTTAATCATCGAAAAGGAAAGAACAACACATTAGGACTTCGTTTCCCACTTAAGACAAAAATACCTATATGGTATATTTTTCAGAGTCTCCAAAAATAGAAAATCCAAGTTCAAATTAGATTCTGTCAAGTGGGAACCAGTACCTAAATTTGGGAACCGGTTCCGGAAGCTGAGATTTGGGAACTCCATTCTGTCCTCAGGAACCGGTACCAAGATTGGGGTACCGGTTCCAGAAGTCCTGACAATAACAGGTTTTCAGTTTCTTATTCTGTTTAATTCCTTTTTGATCCAACTTTCCTTTCAAGTCCTATGCATGAAATTTTCTTTATTTTCAGAAGGAATAGGACTTTGTAAACCTTTATATAAATCATGTCATACATCAAGTTATTATTCTTAAAAGCCTTAGGAAGATTTTTATTTCAGAAATTCTTATAGAATTTTTTATTTGTCTTTCTAGAACACATACACATAAACACATTGTGAGTTTAGAGTTGTGGTGTTCAAATCCTGATCGTAATCATACAGTTGCATCTACATCTATCAGACAAAAGCAGATCTACTTTTACATCGAATTCAGACGATTGAAGAACAGAAGTAAAAACGATCACACTTTGAAAGGGTTGGAGCATTAATGGATTGTTGTCTAATCTACCTACTACTCTTCTACAAATATCAAGCATAAGCCTAAGGTCAAGTTGCTTTTGGACGGGGAGTCGCAATATAACGACCTGAATCCGAGAGTCCGAATTGCTAACAGGGTCTTTATCCGAACTCGAGGTCACCTAAGGACACTACCGTCCGTCAATATATAATATGCGTGTCATAAAAAAAAATATAGTAATAACAATAATAATAAAATGAGATCATAACTACAAAGTATGTCAAAACAGTCCACTGACCCATCGAATCCTGTGGAGGAGTATCGTCCGCCACTTCCCTTCCGTGTCCTGAAAAATGTTAATAATAAAGGGATGAGCATAAGCTCAATAGGAAGTGTCTAAGACACACTTCTTATGACCTCGTGAATCCATACGAAGAATAGGTAAAGGCAAACAGAATCATGCCATAGGGAAACGCACATTCTCAACCACAACAACAAGTATGTAACAAATATCAATCAATCATAAGTTTACCACAATGTCATGAAGTGCAATATTATGCAAATGTCACCCCCCATTTTCTGAAACATTTTTGTTTCAACTTCCAAACCGTCAGTGTAATCCGACCCAAGGCACCTCCAAGGCGTCATGAATGGAGGGTTGACTAACTATCTACGACCACAAGGCACCTCCAAAGCATCGCATCCGGCCTAGTTAGCTCAACCATACTCACTTCCAGACTACACTAATAACACAAACCGTTAGGCGCCTCCTAGGTGTCCGATTTTCTCAAACTCCTTTGAAAAATATTTTTTCTCAAGAACAAATTCATTTATTTTAAAACATTTTTCCCCTTACTTCTTTCCCAATGAATGCATGAATGCTTCATGCATCTCAATGCCGTAATATCATACAAATCAACTCTAATAAATATTACAAGCTTATCAAGATAATTCTCATGGAAGACCAACATGTACATAAATAATCAAATTTTTTTGCATTAAATATATGAATTTAAAACACAACCATTTAAGCATAATTCTCTATTCATTTTAATAACTATCTACTCACAAATCACTTTCACATAACAACCCACATGGATATACAAATTTAATATACAACTCTAAAGAAATTTCTCCAATGAACAATCACATTCAAGCATGTTGTACATTAATTATAGGAAAATGAATCACAAGAACCAAAGATTGAGTGAATTAGAACACCCCTATCTTAAAAAAATAAAAAATAAAAAAAAAATAAAAAAATAAAAAAAAAAAAAAAAAAATTTCCTCACTAAATCATCAAAGCCTCAAGCCTCAAGTCCTGGCCTCCTCTGCAACTAGGTACACTCTTCAATGAAAATATTTTTATTCCTCAACTAATCTCGTTGATTGAGAGAGAGAGATAGAGAAAAAAAAAAAAACTCTTGTTAATTGGAAGGTTTTCTGTTTTCTAAAATCCTTATGTACTAAAACTAAATTATTTATTAGTGACGTTGCTTTCAAATATTTTCCAAGGAACCAAACGATATTTTAGGACTTTCTTATTTTATTTTTGAGTTAAATTGTGAGGACCCATCTGTCAAACTTGTTTAATTGTGTACGGTTGATTGTGATTGGGTGTTCTTGCTTATAATTTTAGCTGAATACCCTATTGAGCTGAATACCCTAGGGGTTGGCTTACACTATTTAGATGCACACACACTCAGTTTCTCAGCCATTTAATAAATTACAACAATAAAGCCAAACACTTGCTAATGACACATGTGCAATGCTACTGCACACATATCATGTTTGTGGATTGCAATTGAGTTGTGATTTGATCGTGTTGAGGTTGACCACCACATCTTTCATGCCACTTC